GTCTACTAGACAGTAGAGCTGGAAGGATATTGATTAAATTAGAGAAATTGTGCGTTCAAGTTCACACCTTTTCAACAACACCACGTCATTGGAAATCTTATTAAGGCTGGAGGTACGCACAGTACCGCTACCGGTACAGCTGTGTGTACTAGCTAGTAGCTAGTACGGTACTAGCTAGGGGATGGGCAAATCTTGCAATGGCGCTGTATTGTAATGGAGTGTGACTCACCAAAATCAGTTAAAAAAACGAAATTCGTATTTTTGCTGGAAGATAAGTTTAATTGGATTGCATTGGATTGGATTGCATTGAATTGGATTGAATTGGATACCAAATAGTACTGTAATTTATATAGTAAACTGTAATTCAATGCAATCCAATCCAATCCAATCCAATGCAATCTAATCCAATAGAGAAAAACAGCCAAAGTAAAAGATTGGCTTATCGCACACAATTTTTACAAAAAGGCTCTAACAAATTCAACACAGAGCCATGGGCAAGTTTGCTCATCCCCCTAGCTGTACAGAGCACCAAAGGATCAATCTTTCTCGACCAACTCAACTCCCGCGTGTTTCTTGTCATCGATTTCAGCAACGAGTGACCAGTGACTATTCCTCCTTCCAAGTTGGATCTTCGCACCTCTAGCTAGCTAGCTATCTACCGTACGTACAGTACATGAAGTTTTTTAGAGCAGCAATCAACGTTGCGTCCATCTCGAAACCCTCTTCGAAGGCAGATTCGACTGCAGTAGAAGACGGTTTCACAGATTCCGCAGGAATATGAAATCCATTCGTCGAAGCCTTGCAGAGCCATTGAATAGCCTCCGTTGTCTCAGCACTCGTACATTTTTGATGCTTCGCTTCATCATCTTGGGTTGGTTTCCCAAGTCTCTCCAAGAGGCAAATCGCATGCTCGTACTGCCCACGGGCGTGCCCATGAAAGGCAGCAAACCTGCACATGTTGCGTGCTTCCTCGAAACGAGATTCCCACTTCAAAAAGTCGCCATATCGAGTGACGGCCAGGGGGTGGATTCTGTTTCACTTGCCAATCGCTCTCTGGAACCAGTACTCGGCCTTTTGCTTGTCCTTTTGAAAGCTATCGTTCTGCCCAAGTGGTACAATAGGCATCGGCCAGATCCAACATGGCCTGTGTGTCGCCGCTGTTAGCTGCAAAGGTTAGATACGTCACTCCTAGTTGAACGTTTGGTGGATTCAGGATGGCCAGCAGGTCCCCAGGAGGTCCGAGCCGTTCGAAGAGGGGCCAGCTTTGAAGCTCGTCGATAAAAGTGTGCGATCCGAAAACATGAACTCTCCCAAGAAGATGATGCAACTTGTTTCTGTCGCACATAAGTAACTCAAGTTGGCTTGAGTGGGTTTTTCGTCGCTCTAAAAGCCAGTCCATGGCGTGTACATTGCCTTGAGGTATAGAGTCTCTACAGAAATCGAAATCTATTTCGCGCATGCACTTCAAGCAAATTTTGTCACTGTGGCTGCAACAACATGGTTGTCTCATGAAATACTCCAGAGGATGCAAATTGTTTTCTTTGGGGCGGAACTGAGCGCAGTAGGGACACACCTTTGTTGTTGCAAAAGTTTCATAGTCTCGGTCAAGACTCAACGTGAATCCCTCGCGCCGTGTCTGGACATTGGCGTCAGTGTCCCCGTTTGCATCGACAAGGCAAACTACCCAAAGCACGGCAAAGGCAACTACCGGTACCAAAGGAATGGCAACGGGCAGCTCCCCGAGGCAGACGCAAAGAATGCGAAAAGAGGGACTCCCCAAAGCAAAATAGAATCTCGGTCAGGAGGCCACATCAAGCATTCCGAAGCCAAGGAGGGCAGGAGTCTACTACAGTACCAGTATTACTTGGGGGGTCGGGCTACCTCCAGTAGAAGTAATGGGGGTTTAGAGTAGGGAAATTATCTACGGAAGCCAGCCGGGGCCAGGCTTAAGCAAAGAACAGTAGAATGAGATATCGGTAGTTATGGTAATTTGTATTTTATACTTCAGCCACAGCTTACCTTACTTACCTGATTTCCTACATTGTTGTTGCAAGCTTCTATTTCTTGGATCTCTTTCCAGATCCCTTTTTGGGTGGTCCTTTGCCCTTTCTTCTCATGAACTCTCGCTTGACGTGTCTTCTCTCTTGCAACTCTGTCATGAATCCCTCAGGGTGGGCCTGTTTTATAATAATGACAAACCGGACAACAATGGCATGATTGATTAGCAAAATCTAAACGCAACATGGACAGCAGATACCGATCACAAGCAACCTCACTATTATACAACTGCAGTTCCATTGTCTCGTGAATGATATCATCAACACAACACTCACCTTTCTTGCGTATTTGTCAATGGGTTCATCATAATATCGATTCAGGTAGACCCCTTGGAGTGACTTTTTTGTTTTCTGGTGGCCCGTTCGAACACCCAAGTTGGGAAAATAGCCAAAGATCTCTTGTTGCACCTTGTTGACCTCTCGTCGCAGAGCTGGATACGTCTGGTACAGTTTGCGAGTTGTATACCCCGCGGCTTTGGATGAGGCCATCGCTACCGTAGCTAGCTGATCCTACCGGTATAATGTACAGTACAGTAGTATTGGATCTATTGGGATTCAAGGACGAACCTCCTTTGTTGTGGTGGCGTTTGATGCTGCCTACCTGAGTATCAGAGGGAGGGTGGTGCCGTCGATCGCTGTCGAAGCGGTTGTGGCCATGGTCGGTCTTCGGCTTTTTAAAAACCAATCTTGCCCGGGTGGGAGGTATGCGTCTGGCACTCTACCGTAGAAGTGTACGGTAGGAGTAGGGTAGCATAATAGGGCGCTCAGTTGCTCAATCTCCGCTTGGATCCCTTCTTGCCACCATGACACCTGCCATCACAAAACGGCCACGGCCATGTTCCGCAATTTTAAAATCCAAATACATTTTATTGCCCTCAACGGACTGAGGGTCTTTCACACTTTTATCGCTGTATGTGTGTGTGTGTGTGTGTGTTTGTTGCAGCTGTTTTTGTCACATAGGGGACACTTTCCTCGTTAAGGATAGGGATTAATATTGTGTGTTCAGCTGGACACAGTAGTTTCAACATATGGGTACCAGTTCTGGCTGGCTATGCAGACTCACTAGTGTGTCCAGATAAACAGGGTGTAAGTTTTGCCAAAGACATAAGGGACATTTTCCTTGTTAAGGATAGGGATTGATATTGTGTGTTCTGTTGGACACAGTACTTTGGACCCTTACTGGCTGGCTATGGAGACTTGCTAGTGTGTCCAGTTGAACACGGTAAAGGATTTGACCAAAGATGTTAAGGATTCGATTGGGGAATCCAATCAAATCTCTTTTTGACAGTTGAGGGCATCAGCCCCCGGCTGCTTGTTCTCAGCCCAACAAAGCAGTACCATGACGAATCATCACTGGTCCCATCTCTGGAATTTCCTGATCTTACTGGTGGCAGTTGCTGCTCTTTTGGTTCCATCCAGCCAGGCGTTCTCACAGCATCCTCTTCCCACTACCGCTAGAAACCACCATTGTCATGACCCAAGACGACCATGTCGCAGTGTCTTGTTCATGGCTCTGACACCGATAGGACCCTTTTGTCCATTTCGCAGTGCCGCCGCAACGGCAATGGATGCTCCCATGGATGAAATGCAGGAACATGCTCCGGATTTTGCCACCGAAATGACACGTTTCCAACTCGACTTGCAAATGGGACAAACTCCCGAACCCGAACGACTCCGCGTCGTTGCCAATGGATTGGATCACGCCGTCGATCAATGGGAAACTCTGGTGACCCGTCTACGCATGAGTGGAGACTTTCAAACCAAGGAATATGCCAAATTGAATCACCGAAGCCCATTTGAATGTGCACGGACAATCCGTGGCACAATTGGGTGCCATGATGCGATGGCAATCGGCCTGTATGCGGGCCATGGCCGACAAAACACATCCACCTCTTCCTCCACCCGATATCGATCTTGGAAAACTCATGGCGGAAGCGAACAACGACTCTGCTGACAAACCATCGCCCTCCATGTCGGCCATGACAGCGGCCGAACAAATTACCAGTCCACCATTTGACGATGCCAAGCTAGATGGTGTTGTGAAGGAAGAATATGAAAAACTCTGTCGCGATCATCAAAGTTTGATTGAATTTGGTGCCAAATATGATACGTTTGATCCATTGGGGAAATTGGCCTTTCTGAAGCCATTGAAGAACGATGGGATGTGTTTTTCACTAGATTCTCACTCATGGGAGCTCTCAATGACACCTACATTCAACAGTGCAATTCCTTTTTGCAAAGCATGGGCATGACCGAACAAGATTATCGAACGCTTTTGCGCAAGTCACACGAAATCATGCGACAAGATGCCGAAGCGGAACGAAGCTTGTAGCTAGCTAGTCTGTGTGCAATGCGAGGCACACAAACTTTGAACTGATACTGATAATACCTTTTTTTAAGTGCTTCTCTGCTACAAGGGAAGTTGCCGGGAACTCATTATTAGACATCAATACGGCCTGGAAAACAACGATTTTCGCAGACGCTGGAGGCATTTTGGAGGTGGGGATTCGTGGGTAGTGCTTGCATACCGTAACAGCTCCGGTAGAATGTCGTGAAGTTCCACCGATGGAAGGTCAATATTTCGCAGGCAGGCAGTGGCAGCGGGACGTTGCTGCTGTGGGTATAGACTACTAGCTAGTCTACTAGCTAGGTATATAAGTAGTATCTAGCACAGGCATGGCCTGGATGTCACTTTCATCAGATCACAGCGACCTGATTGCGGAAAATTTCGTCTCCTGGAGACGATTTGCTTTAGGGGTAATGGTACCGATGGGGGCAGAGGTTTGAATTATACCCGGCGCGCATTACTTAGAAGGCCCTGTAGAAGTCTACGTATTCGACTAGTATTGTATTGACGGGATACAGTCAAACGCATGTACATGCACATGAAAGTCGCCTTGCGTTCTTCACATTTTAAAAGTTGGCTCCTAATTTTTCGGGTCGCCTGTGATTTGATTGGACGCTTGATCTTTTTTCAATGACTGACTTGAATGACGTACGAGGTGCAATGCGAATCTAGAAAGGTAGTTGTAGTAATAAAAGTTTTTATATACAGATTAATTTACCCTATATCCCTACCGTTATACTTATAACAAGAACCCGTCTTCTCGCTGAACATTTCATCGTATTTATCTTCTCTAGGACAGAAAGCCCAATATATCCTTAAATCTTGAAGCATTCTCTCATTCGTTGTGGCATGGCAAAGTTCTTTGGATCCCAATCCAGCTTCTTCAATAAGAACAAAACACTCATGGTTCGCACCCTGATAACACCACGTAAGCCCAGTTTTGACAGTATCGCCATGATGTACCAATAACCACACTCAGTATATCCCTGTAATTTGTGTCCAGTTGTCGCAAATTGCTGATAATCGGGAACTGCTTACCCCTCATCTTGGTGTGTACAACTTCTCCGTCATAAAAACATCTGGTACTGAAAGTGTAGTCTTGCTCCGTTACATAAAAAGTACGTGGCATAATAGTTCCATTTCATGTTCCACAAGGATAGATTTGACTTGACCTGAGAAAAAAGCCCGAATCTTTCAGCCGTTGTCGAGTTGAATAACCATGGGGGTGCAACCATCCCTCACATTCACCTTTCTCACAAAAAGCCTGAGATCCATTGGCTTCTCCATTCGGAAAATGCGTGTTCTCTGTAAACATTACAGGACACCCCTTATATAACTTCAAAACAGGATCAACACGTTTTGTGAGTCCGAACCGGGTTTTAACGATCTTCTCCACATTTGAAAAGAATGACTTTAAAACCGAATTGCTCTTAACAGGAACCAGTGGTCCCTGCTTGATTGGCCATTGAAGATCGTCCATGATAAAAGAGTACTGGCATCCATCAGACGGAATCATAGCAGGTTTGTTCTTCCCAGCAAAATTCTTCGAAGATAACTGAGTTAATGGCATTTCGATCTCGATTCAGATAAGTACAACTTGAATGTTCTCTGGTGGAACATTGGATGGGCCAACCAGCAGGCAGTCATTGATGGTCTCAATATCTTCTTCTGTTGGTCGCCCTTCACGAATCTTAAACAGCGTTGCCCCCATTCAGGACGTCTTTGAAGCGGGGCATTGACATTGGGTGCCCCATCTCTAAACATCTAATAAAGAATTCTGAAGAGTCAATGACAATTATCAGAAATGGTGTGCTGAAGTTGTAAATTGAGAGGGCGTTCCCACTGCGTTCAAGTTTGGAGCTTAGTCTCCGCGCGCGAACACCAAGTTAATTCCCCCAAATCTCT